GTACTGGTCCGTGTTGTAGTTGACCCCAACCTGAACCTTCTCTGTGGTACTGGTCCGTGTTGTAGTTGACCCCAACCTGAACCTTCTCTGTGGTACTGGTCGGTGGTGTAGTTGACCCCAACCTGAACCTTATCTGTGGTACTGGTCCATGTTGTAGTTGACCCCAACCTGTACCTTCTCTGTGGTACTGGTCCATGTTGTAGTTGACCCCAACCTGTACCTTCTCTGTGGTACTGGTCCATGTTGTAGTTGACCCCAACCTGTACCTTCTCTGTGGTACTGGTCCATGTTGTAGTTGACCCCAACCTGAAATAGGAGAACGGCAAGATGACAGCAATCTGTAAGTCATTGAGAGAGGACATCAGTTCTGTGTGTGAATTCATGATAACAATGACAGATCAATCAATCTCGAGGGACAATCAAGGCGGAATAACATGGTTGTGGACAGAATTGCATAATCTCCACATGAGACCTGGACGGAGTCTGAGGACAAAGTGAGGGAAATTATCTCTGAGAAATTGAAGATGGACCACAGGAAGTTTGAGGTGTAGCGCGCCCACAGGACTGGAAAACCACCACCGGCCCAGGTGACAGGCCCAGGCCGATAGTGGTCAAGTTCCTGAGGTTCAAGAACAAGGTAGCTGTTCTGGAAAGAGTCAATAACTTGAGAGGAACGTATCTTCCTCAACGAGGACTATCCTGAAGCTGTGCGCCAGAAGAGGAAAGAACTTATCCCAGCCATGAAAGCTGCCAGAGCGCATGGGGACATTGCTTACATCGGCTATGACATGCTCATTGTCCACCCATTGTCCACCCTGAGAGAGCCAAGCCTATGGGTTCGTAGCTTCAACCCCGCAGCACACACACACACACACACACACACACACACACACACACACACACACACACACACACACACACACACCAATTGATTAATGGACTGCTGTATGTATATTGTTTTCTCTTGCTTTGTTTGCTCTTTTCCATATTATGTCTATCGCTGATAAGGTACCCAGGAAAGGGCTGAAAATAGCCCATATTAATATATGTAGCCTTAGAATTAAGGTTAATGAAATCAATAACTTGCTAACATTCATATATTAGCCATTTCTGAGACTCGCTTAGATAATTCATTGGATGATACAGCAGTAGCAATACAAGGATATAACATCTATAGAAGAGACAGAAATGCTTATGGGGGAGGTATTGCTGTATATATTCAGAGCCATATCCCTGTAATGCTTAGAGAAGATCTTATGTCAAGTGGTATTGAAGTGTTGTGGTTGCAGGTTCACTTGGCACATCTAAAGCCTTTTCTTTTGGAAGTTGCTATAGTCCACCAAGTGCTAACAGTTAGTATCTAAATAATATGTGTGAAATGCTTAATAGTGTATGTGATGTAAACGGAGGGGTCTACTTCTTGGGGACCTGAGTATTGACTGGTTTTCATCAAACTGTCCACTCAAGAGGAAGCTTCTCACTGTAACCAGTGCATGTAAACTGGTTCAGGTTAGTAATCAACCTACCAGGGTGTTTACAAACACTACAGAAACAAGATCATCCACATGTATCACATTTTTACTAATACTGTAGAACTTTGTTCTAAAGCTGTATCCGTACCCATTGGATGCAGTGATCACAATATAGTGGCTATATGCAAGGAAGCCAAAGTTCCAAAAGCTGGGCCTAAAATAGTGTATGAGAGATCATACAAAATATTTTGCTGTGACTCTTATGTGGATGATGTTAGAAATATTTGTTGGTCTGATGTGATTAATAAGGAGCATCCAGACACTGAACTTGATGAATTTATGAAATTGTTTCTTCCTGTTAAGAAACTGTATTGTTGAAAGATAAGTGGTTAATAAGTCTGGCTGCACATCTAGCTGGCTGATTTACTGCAAATTGAGAAATTATGTGACTAAACTCAACAAAAATAAGAAAAAATGGTATTATGAAGCCAAGATCAATGATATAAAGAATGATGGAACTACTTTAAATGAAATGATGGGCAGAAAGACAAATTCAACTCCATCTTTCATCGAATCAGATGGCTTATTCATCACAAAACCATTTGATGTTGCCAAATATTTTAATGATTACTTAATTGGCAAAGTATGAAAAAAATAATGTATGCACTCACTAACTGTAAGTCGCTCTGGATAAGAGCATCTGCTAAATGACTAAAATGTAAAATGTAAAGTGGGCAAACTTGGGCATAAAAAAAGAAATAATGAAAGAAAAGCATTGCCAGCTTGAATTTTGTAAAGTTCGTTTTGGAGAGGTGGAAAATCTATAGTTATCGATCAATAATGACAAACCTCCTGGCATTGACAACTTAGATGGAAAGCTACTGAGGATGGTAGCTGACTCTATAGCCACTCCTGTCTGTCATATCTTTAATCTGAGCCTAGAGGAAAGTCTTTGTCCTCAGGCCTGGCGGGAAGCCAAAGTAATTCCGCTACCCAAGAGTGGTAAAGCGGCCTTTATTGGTTCTAACAGCAGACCTATAAGCTTTCTGCCAGCTCTTAGCAAATTGTTGGAAAAAATGGTATTTGACCAAATACAATGCTATTTCTCTGTAAACAAATTAACAACAGACACTCAACATGTACTGCACTGACACAAATGACTGATGATTGGTTGAAAGAAATTGATAATAAGAAGATTATGGGAGCTGTACTGTTAGATTTCAGTGCAGCCTTTGAAATTATTGACCATAACCTGTTGTTGAAAAAAAGTATGTTATGGCTTTTCAACCTCTGCCATATCGTGGATTCAGAGCTATCTATCTAATATAACTCGAAGGGTTTTCTTTAATAGAAGCTTCTGTATTGTCAAACATGTAAAGTGTGGTGTACCGCAGGGCAGTTCTCTAGGCCCTCTACTCTTTTCTATTTTTACCAATGACCTGCCACTGGCATTAAACAAAGCATGTACAGTGGGGAAAAAAAGTATTTAGTCAGCCACCAATTGTGCAAGTTCTCCCACTTAAAAAGATGAGAGAGGCCTGTAATTTTCATCATAGGTACACGTCAACTATGACAGACAAATTGAGAAAAAAAATTCCAGAAAATCCCATTGTAGGATTTTTAATGAATTTATTTGCAAATTATGGTGGAAAATAAGTATTTGGTCACCTACAAACAAGCAAGATTTCTGGCTCTCACAGACCTGTAACTTCTTCTTTAAGAGGCTCCTCTGTCCTCCACTCGTTACCTGTATTAATGGCACCTGTTTGAACTTGTTATCAGTATAAAAGACACCTGTCCACAACCTAAAACAGTCACACTCCAAACTCCACAATGGCCAAGACCAAAGAGCTGTCAAAGGACACCAGAAACAAAATTGTAGACTTGCACCAGGCTGGGAAGACTGAATCTGCAATAGGTAAGCAGCTTGGTTTGAAGAAATCAACTGTGGGAGCAATTATTAGGAAATGGAAGACATACAAGACCACTGATAATCTCCCTCAATCTGGGGCTCCACGCAAGATCTCACCCGTGGGGTCAAAATGATCACAAGAACGGTGAGCAAAAATCCCAGAACCACACGGGGGGACCTAGTGAATGACCTGCAGAGAGCTGGGACCAAAGTAACAAAGCCTACCATCAGTAACACACTACGCCGCCTGGGACTCAAATCCTGCAGTGCGAGACATGTCCCCCTGCTTAAACCAGTACATGTCCAGGCCCGTCTGAAGTGCATTTGGATGATCCAGAAGAGGATTGGGAGAATGTCATATGGTCAGATGAAACCAAAATATAACTTTTTGGTAAAAACTCAACTCGTCATGTTTGGAGGACAAAGAATGCTGAGTTGCATCCAAAGAACACCATACCTACTGTGAAGCATGGGGGTGGAAACATCATGCTTTTGGGCTGTTTTTCTGCAAAGGGACCAGGACGACTGATCCGTGTAAAGGAAAGAATGAATGGGGCCATGTATCGTAAGATTTTGAGTGAAAACCTCCTTCCATCAGCAAGGGCATTGAAGATGAAACGTGGCTGGGTCTTTCAGCATGACAATGATCCCAAACACACCGCCCGGGCAACGAAGGAGTGGCTTCGTAAGAAGCATTTCAAGGTCCTGGAGTGGCCTAGCCAGTCTCCAGATCTCAAACCCATAGAAAATCTTTGGAGGGAGTTGAAAGTCTGTGTTGCCCAGCGACAGCCCCAAAACATCACTGCTCTAGAGGAGATCTGCATGGAGGAATGGGCCAAAATACAAGCAACAGTGTGTGAAAACCTTGTGAAGACTTACAGAAAACGTTTGACCTGTGTCATTGCCAACAAAGGGTATATAACAAAGTATTGAGAAACTTTTGTTATTGACCAAATACTTATTTTCCACCATCATTTGCAAATAAATTAATTAAAAATCCTACAATGTGATTTTCTGGATTTTTTTTTCTCATTTTGTCTGTCATAGTTGACGTGTACCTATGATGAAAATTACAGGCCTCTCTCATCTTTTTAAGTGGGAGAACTTGCACAATTGGTGGCTGACTAAATACTTTTTTTCCCCACTGTATGTTCATGTATGCTGATGATTCAACCATATACGCATCAGCAACCACAGCTAATGAAGTCACTGAAACCCTTAACAAAGAGTTGCAGTCTGTTTTGGAATGGGTGGCCAGTAATAAACTGGTCCTGAACATCTCTAAAACTAAGAGCATTGTATTTGGTACAAATCATTCCCTAAGGTGTAGACCTCAGTTGAATCTGGTAATGAATGGTGTGGCTGTTGAACAAGTTGACAAGATTAAATGACTTGGCGTTACCTTAGATCGTAAACTGTCATGGTCAAAACATATAGATTCAATGGTTGTAAAGATGGGGAGAGGTCTGTCCGTAGTAAAGAGATGCTCTGCTTTTTTGACACCACACTCCAAAAGCAAGTCCTGCAAGCTCTAGTTTAGTCTTATCTTGATTATTGTCCAGTCGTGTGGTCGAGTGCTGAAAGGAAAGACCTAGTTAAGCTGCAGCTGGCCCAGAACAGAGTAATCTTCATTGTAATAAGAGGGCAGATATAAATACTATGCATGCCAGTCTCTCTTGGTTAAGAGTTGAGGAGAGACTGACTGCATCACTTCTTCTTTTTATAAGAAACATTAATGTGTTGAAAATCCCAAATTGTTTGCATAGTCAATTTACACACAGCTCTGACACACACACTTACCACACCAGACATGTCACCAGGGGTCTTTTCACAGTCCCAAAATCCAGAACAAATTCAAGAAAGCGTACAGTATTACATAGAGCCATTATTGCATGGAACTCTGTTCCATCTCGTATTGCTCAAGTGAACAGCAAACCTGGTTTAAAAAAACAGATAAAGCAACACCTCACGGCAAAACGCCTCTCCCCTATTTGACCTAGATAGTTTGTGTGTATGTATTGATATGTAGGCTACGTGTGCCTTTTGTTTTACGTAGTTCTGTCCTTGAGCTGTTCTTGTCTATTAATGTTCTGTATTATGTCATGTTTTGTGTTTTGTGTGGACCCCAGGAAGAGTAGCTGCTGCTTTTGCAACAGCTAATGGGGATCCTAATAAAATACCCAAAAATACCAAATACCGTGCACCTATTGCGGAAAAATGCATTGAAAATATAGGGAGCGTTACTATGCTCACTGCGAACGGCGATTAGAGTTTTCCCACCTATTGTTACCACTACATCACTGCAGCTGGTGTCTAAAAGCAGACTAAAATTAGCCCCAACAACCTCTACCAACCCTAACAACGTTTCCTAATGAGGCTGACCGCTGTCCTGGCCTGGGTTAATAGAGCTCCTTAATGAGCCAGACTCAGGTCATTACGCTGGGGGGCTGCCAAGGGGCACTGCTGAGAGAGTTGAGAGGTGTGTGTGTGTGAGAGAGAGAGAGTGTGTGTGTTTATGTGGCATGTGTCTGTGTGTCTCTGTGTGCATGCATGAATGCATGTTTGTGTGTGTATTTGCCTGGGGAGCCAGCACCTGTCCCCTTACCTGATCCTGAAAGCGAAGTGAAGAGAAGGCCATATGGGGTTTCTACCAGACAGACTGGCTCTGCACCTCTACATCCATACATGTTAATATTCTACATCTACTCTGATTCAATGTGGTCCTAAACAGAATGTATGGCCATATTTTTAAAAACATTTTAGTCATTTAGCAGACGCTCTTATCCAGAGCGACTTACAGTTAGTAAGTGCATACATTTTTCATACTGGCCCCCCGTGGGAAACGAACCCACAACCCTGGCGTTGCAAGCGCCATGCTCTACCAACTGAGCTACAGGGGACCATATAAACAAAAGCACAGCAATGGACCCTGGTTCAAAGTAGTGCACTATATAGGGATTGTAACATCACAGCTGATGTTTCAATCGAACAGCTCTCTGGTCTCCTGTATTTCAGATTATCATGAATATCGTCTGTAATTGCCTCTATTTGTGGTCGATGAGCTAATTTACAGATAAATATGACAAACCAACAGAATGTCCTTGCTCTTTGTCTTCTGCACCGTGCAAACGCTTTTCAAGGGTAGACACACACACACACGCATGCACGCACGCATGAAAGCATGCAAGCACACACACAGACACACCGGTGTTATTGGATTGTAATGGAGCCAGCCGTGCGTTTAACTCGGTGTATTGATTAAATCAGCAGGCATATCATGTCCAAGTTCATATCATTTGCTGACACATACACACACACACACACACACACACATACACAAACACACACATACACACAACAACCAGGGAAGGGGAACGATCCATCACCATTTAGATAAATAAAGCCGCTAGTCTAAACAGCCAATCATTAAGGTTGTTATAGGATGACACTTTGACCTTGGGAGGTGACAGGTCAATGACATCATTATCACGGAGCCAGACAGTGTCCCAGAACACAACAAAGAGTTGCCAGACCATGCTAATGACAATTATCCTAATGGATGTGTCTAAATACTAATATCACTCACAACTAATATTAGAATAAATGCATTTGAATACTAAATATCCAAATATATTACATTTTCACATCACTGACAGCATATATAACTAATATCCTAATAGAGACATTGGTTTAGAGATTTGTAGGGAAAAGGATGTTTGTCCCACATGTGTTAGTCCACTGTGGCTCTCATGAAGACATATAGCACAATGAAGTAGGACTGAGGCCCTCTCATCAAGATATGTAGGCCAGTGAAGTAGGACTGAGGCCCTCTCATCAAGACATGTAGCCCAGTGAAGTAGGACTGAGGTCCTCTCATCAAGACATGTAGCCCAGTGAAGTAGGACTGAGGCCCTCTCATTATACATATAGCTCAGTGAAGTAGGACTGAGCCCCTCTAATTAAAATATGTAGCCCAGAGAAGTAGGAATGAGGCCCTCTCGTGAAGATATGTAGCCCAGAGAAGTAGGACTGAGGCCCTATCATGAAGATATGTAGCCCAGTGAAGTAGGACTGAGGCCCTATCATGAAGATATGTAGCACAGTGAAGTAGGACTGAGGCCCTATCATGAAGATATGTAGCCCAGTGAACAAGGACAGTGTAGAGCAGAGTATAGAGAAAAGTCAATGTAGATGACCTCACACTTGCCTTCTGATCCTCTTCCCCTGATACCCCTATTATTACTGGTCTGAGACAGTGTCCCTCCCCAGTCCCCAGACCCTGACACACTGCTCCAAACCCCAGACCCCAGACCCTGACACACTGCTCCAAACCCCAGACCCCAGACCCTGACACACTGCTCCAAACCCCAGACCCCAGACCCTGACACACTGCTCCAAACCACAGACCCCAGACCCTGACACACTGCTCCAAACCACAGACCCCAGACCCTGACACATTGCTCCAGATCCCAGACCCCAGACCCTGACACACTGCTCCAGACCGCAGACCCTGACACACTGCTCCAGTCCCAGACCCCAGACCCTGACACACTGCTCCAGATCCCAGACCCCAGACCCTGACACACTGCTCCAGACCGCAGACCCTGACACACTGCTCCAGTCCCAGAACATGACACACTGATCCAGTCCCCAGACGCTGACAAACTGCTCAAGACCCCAGACCCTGACACACTGCTCCAGTCCCCAGACCCTGACATACTGCTCCAGTCCCCAGTCCCCAGACCATGACACACTGCTCCAGTCCCCAGACCCTGACACACTGCACCAGTCCCCAGTCCCCAGTCCCCAGACCCTGACACACTGCTCCAGTCCCCAGACACTGACACACTGCTCCAGTCTCGAGACCCTGACACACTGCTCCAGTCCCCAGACCCTGAAACACTGCTCCAGTCACCAGTCCCCAGACCCTGTCACACTAATCCAGTCCCCAGTCCACAGACCCTGACACACTGATCCAGTCCCCAGTCCCCAGAACCCGACACACTGCTCCAGTCCCCAGAACCTGAAACACAGCTCCAGTCCCCAGTCCCCAGACCCTGACACACTGCTCCAGTCCCCAGACCCTGACAAACTGATCCAGTCCCCAGTCCCTGATACAATGATCCAGTCCCCAGACCCTGACACACTGCTCCAGTCCCCAGACCCTGACACACTAATCCAGTCCCCAGACCCTTACACACTACCCCAGTCCCCAGTCCCCAGTCTCCAGACCCTGACACACTGCTCCAGTCCCCAGTCCACAGACCCTGACACACTGATCCAGTCCCCAGACCCTGAAACACTGCTCCAGTCCCCAGTCCCCAGACTCAGACACACTGCTCAAGTCCCCAGACCCTGAAACACTGCTCCAGTCCCCAGTCCCCAGACCACGACAGACTGCTCCAGTCCCCAGACCCTGACACACTGATCCAGTCCCCAGTCCCAGATAAAATGCTCCAGTCCTCAGACCCTGACTAACTGCTCCAGTCACTAGTCCCTGACACACTGCTCCAGTCCCCAGACCCTGAAACACTGCTCCAGTCCCCAGTCCCCAGACCACGACAGACTGCTCCAGTCCCCAGACCCTGACACACTGATCCAGTCCCCAGTCCCAGATAAAATGCTCCAGTCCTCAGACCCTGACTAACTGCTCCAGTCACTAGTCCCTGACACACTGCCCCAGTCTCCAGACCCTGTCACACTGCTCCAGTCCCCAGACACTGACAAACTGCTCCAGTCCCCAGACCCTGACACACTGCCCCAGTCGACAGTGCCCAGTCCCCTGACCCTGACACACTGCTCCAGTTCCCAGACACTGACACACTGCTCCAGTCTCCAGACCCTGACACACTGCTCCAGTCCCCAGTCCCCAGACCCTGAAACACTGCTCCAGTCACCAGTCCCCAGAACCTGTCACACTGCTCCAGTCCCCAGTCCACAGACCCTGACAAACTGATCCAGTCCCCAGTCCCCAGAACCCGACACAATTCTCCAGTCCCCAGTCCCCAGAGCCTGAAACACTGCTCCAGTCCCCAGTCCACAGACCCTGACACACTGATCCAGTCCCCAGACCCTGAAACACTGCTCCAGTCCCCAGTCCCCAGACTCAGACACACTGCTCAAGTCCCCAGACCCTGAAACACTGCTCCAGTCCCCAGTCCCCAGACCACGACAGACTGCTCCAGTCCCCAGACCCTGACACACTGATCCAGTCCCCAGTCCCAGATAAAATGCTTCAGTCCTCAGACCCTGACTAACTGCTCCAGTCACTAGTCCCTGACACACTGCTCCAGTCCCCAGACCCTGAAACACTGCTCCAGTCCCCAGTCCCCAGACCACGACAGACTGCTCCAGTCCCCAGACCCTGACACACTGATCCAGTCCCCAGTCCCAGATAAAATGCTCCAGTCCTCAGACCCTGACTAACTGCTCCAGTCACTAGTCCCTGACACACTGCCCCAGTCTCCAGACCCTGTCACACTGCTCCAGTCCCCAGACACTGACAAACTGCTCCAGTCCCCAGACCCTGACACACTGCCCCAGTCGACAGTCCCCAGTCCCCTGACCCTGACACACTGCTCCAGTCCCCAGACACTGACACACTGCTCCAGTCTCCAGACCCTGACACACTGCTCCAGTCCCCAGTCCCCAGACCCTGAAACACTGCTCCAGTCACCAGTCCCCAGAACCTGTCACACTGCTCCAGTCCCCAGTCCACAGACCCTGACAAATTGATCCAGTCCCCAGTCCCCAGAACCCGACACAATTCTCCAGTCCCCAGTCCCCAGACCCTGAAACACTGCTCCAGTCCCCAGTCCCCAGACCCTGACACAATGCTCCAGTCCCCAGACCCTGACAAACTGATCCAGTCCCCAATCCCTGATACAATGCTCCAGTCCCCAGTCCCTGACACACTGATCCAGTCCCCAGACCATGACACACTGCTCCAGTCCCCAGACCCTGACAAATTGCTCCAGTCCCCATACCCTGACACACTGATCCAGTCCCCAGTCCCTGACACACTGATCCAGTCCCCAGACCCTGACAAATTGCTCCAGTCCCCAGACCCTGACACACTGATCCAGTCCCCAGTCCCTGATAAAATGCTCCAGTCCTCAGACCCTGACACACTGCTCCAGTCCCCAGTCCCCAGACCCCGACACACTGCTCCAGTCCCCAGACCCTGAAACACTGCTCCAGTCCCCAGTCCCCAGACCCCGACAGACTACTCCAGTCCCCAGACCCTGACACACTGATCCAGTCCCCAGTCCCTGATAAAATGCTCCAGTCCTCAGACCCTGACTAACTGCTCCAGTCCCCAGACCCTGACACACTGCTCCAGTCCCCATACCCTGACACACTGCTCCAGTACCCAGTCCCTGACACACTGATCCAGTCCCCAGTGCCTAATGCAATGCTCCAGACCTCAGTCCCTGATGCAATGCTCCAGTCCCCATCCCTGACACACTGCTCCAGTCCCAGACACTGACACACTGCTCCAGTCTCCAGGCCCTGACACACTGCTCCAGTCCCCAGGCCCTGACACACTGCTCCAGTCCCCAGACCCTGACACACTGCTCCAGTCTCAGGACCCTGACACACTGCTCCAGTCCCCAGACCCTGACACACTGCTCCAGTCCCCAGACCCTGACACACTGCTCCAGTCCCCAGACCCTGACACACTGCTCCAGTCCCCAGACCCTAACACACGTTTCCAGTCAGCAGTCCCCAGTCCCTGATACACTGCTCCAGTCCCCAGTCCCTGGTACACTGCTCCAGTCCCCAGTCCCTGACACACTGCTCCAGTCCCAGACCCTGACACACTGCTCCAGTCCCCAGTCCCTGACACATTGCTCCAGTTCCCAGACCCTTACACACTGCTCCAGTTCCCAGACCCTGACACACTGCTCCAGTCCCCATACCCTGACACACTGCTCCAGTCCCCAGTCCCTGAAACACTTCTCCAGTCCTCAGACCTTGACACACTGCTGCAGTCCCAAGTTCCCAGACCCTAACACACTGCTCCAGTCCCCAGAACCTGACACACTGCTCCAGTCCCCAGACCCTGACACACTGCCCCACTCCCCAGTCCCTGAAACACTGCTCCTGTCCTCATACCCTGACACACTGCCCTAGTCCCCAGACCCTGACACACTGCTCCAGTCCCCAGTCTCTGATACACTGCTCCAGTCCCCAGTCCCTGACACACTGCTCCAGTCCCCAGACCCTAAAACACTGCTCCAGTCCCCAGTCCCTGACACACTGCTCCAGTCCCCAGTCCCTGACACACTGCTCCAGTCTCCAGTCCCTGACACACTGCTTTAGTCCCCAGTCAATGACACACTGATCCAGTCCCCAGTTCCTGATACAATGACAATGCTCCAGTCCTCAGTCCCTGATAAAATAATCTAGTCCCCAGTCCCTGACACACTCATCCAGTCCCCAGTCCCTAATACAATGTTCCAGTCCCCAGTCCCTGATACAATGCTCCAGTCCCCAGTCCATGATACAATGCTCCAGTCCACAGTTTATGATACAATGCTCCAGTCCCCAGTCCCTGATACAATGATCCAGTCCACAGTCCCTGATACAATGCTCCAGTCCCCAGTCCCTGATACAATAATCCAGTCCCCAGACCATGATACACTGAACCGGTCCCCAGACCCTGACACACTGCTCCAGTCCCCAGACCCTGAAACACTGTTCCAGTCCGTAGTCCCCAGTCCCCAGACCCTGACACACTGCTCCAGTCCCCAGACCCTGACACACTGATCCAGACCCAGTCCCTAATACATTGTTCCAGTCCCCAGTCCCTGACACAATGCTCCAGTCCCCAGTCCACGATACAATGCTCCAGTCCACAGTGCATGATACAATGCTCCAGTCCCCAGTCCCTGATACAATGATCCAGTCCACAGTCCCTGATACAATGCTCCAGTCCCCAGTCCCTGATACAATAATCCAGTCCCCAGACCCTGATACACTGAACCAGTCCCCAGACCCTGACACACTGCTCCAGTCCCCAGACCCTGAAACACTGCTCCAGTCCTTAGTCCCCAGTCCCCAGACCCTAACACACTGCTCCAGTCCCCAGTCCACAGACCCTGACACACTAATCCAGTCCCCGGTCCCCAGTCCCCTGTCTCCAGACCCTGACACACTGCTCCAGTCCCCAGTCCACAGACCCTGACACACTGATCCAGTCCCCAGACCCTGAAACACTGCTCCAGTCCCCAGTCCCCAAACCCCGACAGACTGCTCCTGTACCCAGTCCCTGACACACTGATCCAGTCCCCAGTCCCTGATGCAATGTTCCAGTCCCCAGTCCCTGATACAATGCTCCAGTTCCCAGTCCCTGACACACTGCTCCAGTCCCCAGTCCCCATATACTGACACACTGATCCAGTCCCCAGACCCTTACACAGCTCCAGTCCCCAGACCCTGACACACTGCTACAGTTCCCATACCCTGAAACACTGCTGCAGTTCCCATACCCTGAAACACTGCTCCAGTCCTCAGTCCCCAGTCCCTGACACACTGATCCATTGCCCAGTCCCTGACACACTGATCCAGTCCCCAGTCCCTGATACAATGCTCCAGTCCCCAGTCCCTGACGCAATGATCCAGTCCCTAGTCCCTGATACAATGCTCCAGTCCACAATCCCTGATACAATGCTCCAGTTACCAGTCCCTGATACAATGCTCCAGTCCACAGTGCATGATACAATGCTCCAGTCCACTGTCCCTGATACAATGATCCAGTCCCCAGTCCCTGATACAATGCTCCGGTCCCCAGTCCCTGATACAATAATCCAGTCCCCAGACCCTGACACACTGCTCCATTCCCCCGACCCTGACACATTGCTCTAGTCTCCAGACCCTGACACACTGCTCCAGTCCCCAGGCCCTGACACACTGCTCCAGTCCCCAGACCCTGACACACTGCTCCAGTCTCCAGACCCTGACACACTGCTCCAGTCCCCAGGCCCTGACACACTGCTCCAGTCCCCAGACCCTGACACACTGCTCCAGTCCCCAGACCTTAACACACGTTTCCAGTCCGCAGTCCCCAAACCCTAACACACTGCTCCAGTCCCCAGAACCTGACACACTGCTCCAGTCCCCAGACCCTGACACACTGCCCCAGTCCCCAGTCCCTGACACACTGCTCCAGTCCCCAGTCCCTGACACACTGCTCCAGTCCCCAGTCCCTGACACACTGTTCCAGTCCCCAGACCCTAACACACTGCTCCAGTCCCCAGTCCCTGACACACTGCTCCAGTGCCCAGTCCCTGACACACTGCTCCAGTCCCCAGACCCTGACACACTGCTCCAGTCCCCAGTCCCTGACACACTGCTCCAGTCCCCAGACCCTGACACACTGCTCCAGTCCCCAGACTCTGACACACTGCCCCAGTCCCCAGACCCTGACACACTGCTCCAGTCCCCAGTCCCTGACACACTGCTCCAGTCCCCAGATCCTAACACACTGCTCCAGTCCCCAGACCCTGACACACTGCTCCAGTTCCCAGACACACTGCTCCAGTTCCCAGACCCTGACACACTGCTCCAGTCCCCAGACCCTGACACACTGCTCCAGTCCCCATTCCCCAGACCCTGACACACTGCTCCAGTCCCCAGACCCTGACACACTGATCCAGTCCCCAGACCCTAACACACTGCTCCAGTCCCCAGACCCTGACACACTGCCCCAGTCCCCAGACCCTGACACACTGCTCCAGTCCCCAGTCCCTGACACACTGCTCCAGTCCCCAGATCCTAACACACTGCTCCAGTCCCCAGACCCTGACACACTGCTCCAGTTCCCAGACACACTGCTCCAGTTCCCAGACCCTGACACACTGCTCCAGTCCCCAGACCCTGACACACTGCTCCAGTCCCCATTCCCCAGACCCTGACACACTGCTCCAGTCCCCAGACCGTGACACACTGATCCAGTCCCCGGTCCCTAATACAATGCTCCAGTCCTGGAGGCGCCATATATGGTGGAGTCCAGCCTGGCTCTGTCAGCAACATCACTGGACCATGAACTCAAGTGGACAGAACACAGAGGAATGCTCACAGGCAGACACTCACCCATTCACAAACACTCATGCACACAGACACAAACGTACGCACGCACACACACAGGCGCACACGTGTGCACGCACGCACACAAACACACACACACACACATCGTAGGTAAGGAACTTGATACAATGACACACATGCCCCCTCAGTGCAGCGGCTAGCTGCCTTATCTCTTCTCTACCTCCTCTTTCCTCCTCACATTCTTTCTGGTTTTTAGCCGAGACTTTTTCACTTTGTCTGGCCTTTTCAAAGACCTGCATTATACTGCTAGACCCCTAGCCTCTCTCCACTCTCTTCATCTAACCCTTTATGCTGCCAGACCCCTACCCTTCTCTTCCCCACTATCTTCTTCTCTCTCCCAGTTCCTCTCTCTATCTGCCACCTTTCACCCCTGACCCATTTCTCTCTCTCTCTCAAATCAATTCAATTCAATTCAATAGACTTTATTGACATGGCAAGTTAAATTAATTACATTGTCAAAGTATACATATAACAAAAATGGTGGGACCAACAGCAATAATAATGGTAGTAGTGGAAATGGTATTACCATTAACAGCAACTACAACAATAATATGAATGAGAATAACAATACATTAAAGCAATAGTAGTCGACCAATCTCAACATGACTGAGAAGACACAATATCTGTCCTTCAGGTTGTGGCAGGAGGACACATATTTGGCTGCCAAACTGCTCATTTTGGCTTTTCATCCGATCTTTTATAGTTTCAAATTCTTTGTACTGAATGATAATTTTGGGAAAGAAATACTCTTTTAGGTCTGAGTATTTCTCACAGTGTAATAGGAAATGCAGCTCTGTCTATACCTCTCCCCGGGGGCAGAGTGAACACAGCTTGTCCTCTCTGGGCAGCCAGGTGTGATGGGTGATTTGAAGGAGTCAGGCGCAGGAGGGTAAATGACAGAATACAGAGTTTATTCCGGAATACAGAGTTACGCAGAATAGTGTCAAACAGTCCAGTGCGCAAAACAGGCGCACTGGAACAAAACAGGCACACAGGGAAAATATACCCCGGCAATACAAAATACACAGAGCTCGACCGAGCTACACTCTCCTCACATTAAACAATCACCCACAAGGACAAGGGGGCAGAGGGAACACTTATACACGTACTAATGAGGGGATATGAACCAGGTGTGTGTAATAGACAAGACAAAACAAATGGAATGATGAGATGTGATGCGGCAGTGGCTAGAAGGCCGGTGACGACGAACGCCGAAGCCTGCCCGAACAACGAGAGGAGGCAGCTTTGGAGGAAGTCGTGACAGTACACCCCCACCCCTTGACACGCAGCTCCAGCAGCGCGCCGACAGCGGCCTCGGGGACGGCCAGGAGGACGCGGAGCAGGGCGAGCCGGATGGCGACTGTGGAAATCCCGCAACAGGGAGGGATCGAGGATATCCCTCACCAGGACCCAGCACCGTTCCTCCGGAAAATACCCCTCCCACTCCATGAGGTACTGAAGGCCCCCCACCTGACGCCTCGAATCCTGGATGGAACGGACGGAGTACGCCGGGCCCCCTCGATGTCCAGAGGAGGCGGAGGGACCTCCTGCACCTCAGACTCATGGAACGGACCAGCCACCACCGGCCTGAGGAGAGACACATGGAACGAGGGGTTAATACGATAATCATGTGGGAGTAATAACCTATAGGTAACCTCGTTTATCCTTCTCAGGACTTTGAACGGCCCAACAAACCGCAGGCTCAGCTTCCGGCAGGGCAGGCGGAGGGGCAGATTCCGGGTTGAAAGTCAGACCCGATCACCCGGTACGAAGACAGGGGCCTCACTGCGGTGGCAGTCAGAGTTGGCCTTCTGACGACGCACGGCGCGTTGGAGGTGGACGTGAGCAGCATTCCACTTTTCCTCCGAGCGCCGAAAGCAGTCATCCACCGCAGGAGCCTCGGTCTGGCTCTGGTGCCACGGTGCCAGAACCGGTTGGTAACCTAAAACACATTGGAATGGCGTTAGGTTAGTGGAGGAATGACGGAGAGAGTTCTGGGCATATTTGGCCCATGGCAAGAACACCACCACCCCCCCGGTCGGTCCTGGCAGTAGGACCGCAGGAACCTACCCACATCCTGATTTACCCGTTCCACCTGCCCATTAGACTCGGGGTGGAAACCAGAGGTCAGGCTGACCGAGACCCCCAGACGTTCCATGAACGCCTTCCAGACCTTGGATGTGAACTGGGAACCCCGGTCAGACACTATGTCCTCTGGTACCCCGTAGTGCCGGAAGACGTGTGTAAACAGGGCCTCCGCAGTCTGCAGGGCCATGGGGAGACCGGGCAGAGGAAGGAGGCGGCAGGCCTTGGAAAAGCAGTCCACAACGACCAGGGTGGTGGTGTTACCTTGAGAGAGGGGAAGATCAGTAAGGAAATCAATGCTTAGGTGAGACCATGGTCATTGTGGAACTGGTAAAGGCTGTAACTTACCCGCTGGGAGGTGCCTAGATGCCTTACTCTGGGCGCACACCGAGCAGGGGGAGACATACACCCTCACATCCTTAGCCAAGGTAGGCCACCAGTACTTTCCGGTCAGGCAGCGCACTGTACGACCGTTACCTGGGTGACCAGAGGAGGGGGACGTGCGTTTCCAGTAGATCAGACGGTCATGGACAAGAGCAGGCACGTACTGCAGCCCAGCTGGACACTGAGGTGGAGATGGCTCTGTGCATAACGCCTGCTCTATATCCACGTCCATCGCCCATACTACCAGCGCCACAATGGAGGAGGCCGGGAGTATGGGGATATTGTCTCTGGGCCTCTCCTCTGTGTCGTACAGCCGTGACAGTGCGTCTGCCTTCACGCTCTTCGTACCCGGGATGTATGATAGAGCGAAATCAAACCGGGTGAAGAATAGGGCCCACCTTGCCTGGCGAGGGTTCAGCCTCCTCACTCCCCGGATGTACTCCAGGTTACGGTGGTCCGTCCAGACGAGGAAAGGGTGTTTTGTCCCTTCGAGCCAGTGCCTCTACACAGTCAAGGCTCGGACAACAGCCAACAGCTCCCGATCACCAACGTCGTAGTTCTGCTCCACCGGGCTGAGCTTCTTGGAGAAGAAGGCACAGGGACGGAGCTTGGGTGGCGTGCCCGAGCGTTGAGATAGGACAGCGCCTATCCCTACCTCGGACGCATCCACCTCCACGATGAATGGTAGTGATGGATCGGGGTGGGCCAGTACCGGGGCTGAGATGAACAGACCCCTCAGGTTACAGAAGGACCTGTCAGCCTCAGCAGACCAGCAGAGCCGGGATGACCCACCCTTCAACAGAGATTTGATGGGAGCTGCGACCTTGCCAAAGCCCCGGATAAACCTCTGATAGTAGTTGGCAAAGCCAATAAAGCGCTGCACCTCCTTTACCGTGGTTGGAGTCTGCCAATTACGCACGGCTGAAATGCGATCTCCCTCCATCTCCACACCTGAGGTGGCAATGCGGTATCCGAGGAAGGAGACGGACTGTTGGAAAAACAGACACTTTTCTGCCTTGGCATAAAGGTCATTTTCCAACAGTCGGGCCAGCACTTTGCGAAACAGGGACACATCGATGTAGACCACTACACCGCGACCAAGCATGTCCCGAAACACCTAATTCACAAAGGGCTGGAAGACGAATGGAGCATTCATGAAACCGTAAGGCATCACCAGGTATTCATAATGCCCCGTGTTTGTGCTGAATGCTGTCTTCCACTCGTCCCCCTCTTGGACACACACCAGGTTGTACGCACTCCGGAGATCTAATTTGGTGAAGAAGCACGCCCCATGCATTGACTCGATCACTGAAGGAATGAGGGGGAGAGGATAATTAAATCTAATCGTCTCCTTGTTCAGTGATCGATAATCAATGCAAGGGCGTAGACCGCCGTCTTTCTTCTTCACAAAAAATAAACTTGAGGAGGCAGGCGAAGTGGAGGGATGTATAAACCCCTGGCGCAGGGACTCGGTAATGTACAGTATGTCTCCATAGCCTCCATTTCAGCATGTGACAGGGGATACACATGAATCCTGGGAGGCACAGCGTCTACCCGGAGGTTTATCGCACAATCCCCTGCCCGATGAGGTGGTAACTTGGTCGCCTGAGTTTTGGAAAACGTGTGCGCCAAATCGAGGTATTCGGGGGGGGGGGGGGGGGAATGCGCATGGTGGAGATACTGTCTGGGCATTTTCTCCGTGGTTTCACCAACGGAAACACCGAGACACTTACCCTGACACTCTCGCGACCACCCCGTGAGAACCCTCTGCGGCCATGAAAAGGTGGGGTTGTGGAGTGCTAACCAAGGAATACCTAATACAACAGGGAAAGCAGGAGACTTGCTTGCGATAAGTCTTGTGGGTAGCAATAGTGACTGGTGCTGTAACTTCCCTAACAAACCCGGACCCTAATGGTCGACTATCAAGTGCTCTGATGGGGAGTGGAATGGATAGGGGAACCAATGAAATGCCTAGACTGTGTGAAAATGACCTGTCCATAAAGTTCCCAGCTGCGCCTGAATCTACTAGCGCCTTACACTGGGGAACTACAATGTAATCAGGAAAGTGGATGGGTAGGGTACAGTGCGCAGCAGAGGGCTCTGAATGAGTGTGAGTCCCCTGTGGCTCTGTTGGTAGAGCATGGCACTTGCAACGCCAGGGTTGTGGGTTTGTTTCCCACGGGGGGCCAGTATGAAAAATGTATGCACTCACTAACTGTAAGTCGCTCTGGATAAGAGCGTCTGCTAAATGACAAAAAATGTAAATGTAAAAATGTGTTTGATACCTGGGGTGACGGGAGAGTGCACTGCCTGCCGCCTCCAGACCCAAAAGAACGCTGACGACATTGTGCGGTGAAATGTCCTCTCGTGCCACCAGAGTGACACTGGCGCTGTTGTCCTCTGCTCTCTCGGATCGCCGCTCCATCAGCTCGGGATCCGAGTCGGGCGGGGTTGGAACGGGCAGACCCCCTCCAGGACGTCCTCTGGCCGCCAGCAGGTTGTCTAAGTGGATGGCCATGTCCACCAGTTGAGCGAAGTACAACATGGTGTCCCGGCAGGCTAGCTCCCTTCGGACGTCCACCCGCAGATGGCACCGGAAGTGGTCGATGAGGGCCCGCTCGTTCCACCCGGACCCAGCTGCTAGAGTCCGGAACTCCAGGCGAAGTCCTGTGCGGTCCTCGTCCCCTGCCTCAGGTGGACCAGCCGCTCGCCCGCCTCTCGACCCTCGGGCGGGTGATCGAAGACAGCCCGAAAGAGGCGAGCGAACTCC